ATTCGTCGCTTCTGCTCCCTTTGTCCTCGTGGACTGGTGGCCAATGACCCATGAGGAAAGGGAGAGACCCCACAAGCCTTTTATTGCTGTGTGGAAATACCCGAGAAAACAACTCAACAAGGAAAAACTTCTTTTGGCTCACAGTTTCAGAGGTTTCCATCTATGGTCAGGTAGTTCCACTGCTTTTTGGCCCCATGCATTGTGAAGCAGAACATCATGGTGATGGAGAGCATGTGATGGAGCAAAGTGGCTCATCTCATATCAAACATGAGCAGAGAAAGCACAATATAGGAAGGGGTCAGGGACAAGCCACAGCAGATCGCCAGCTGGGGGTCAATCCTTCAATACCTAAACCTTTCAGGAAGACACTTCATATTCAAACCTAAACAACCACAGACTACTATTCCTCATAAACATAAACAAAAATCCTCGACTATATAAGGGTAAATCTAGGATGGGACTGTAGCTCAGTGGTAGAGCAATTGACTAGCATGTGCAAGGCCCTGGGATCAATTCCTAGCAACACAGAACAATATATCTACATTATAAAATCACAAATAGCTACTTGCTAGAAAGTGCTATGCAGGCCACTGGAGGAGAACTAACATCAGCAGTCTTACACAGCTGTGGACCTATGTGTAACAATACTGACTAACCAGGCAAGATGAGCCCTTTGGTGCAATAGTGACAAGTCTATTTGGGGGTAACAAACCACTTTCTGTTTGCACTTGATGCCTACTCTATAGGAGCACACTAACGGCTACTGCTGTTATCCTTGTGGCCTCCTAATACAAGCTGGGCTATGATTATCACTACCATTTCTCCACAGTCCCTCAGAAGTGTTGGGAACCACAACCTCAGCATCATCACTTTCCCAAATGCCATGAGGAATATCAACTAGCAATTACTTTGGTGGCCCATTCAGGGGGTCATAATACCAGAAGAGGTCTAAATCAAGTTGCCACCACTATTAAAGACCTTCTGGGAGATATAGGAGTTGTGATAGCTGATCCTGGAGGCTGTACCCCACCACCACTTCTACCCATGTCAGGAAAACTGATGTCATCTCTGTAATAGTTGCTAAGAAAACTCCACTCCATTGCCACAGTTGTCATGGTCTCTGGGTCACTGCTAGGACTGCTCCAGATGTATCTACCCACACTGTAGCCAGCTCAGATGCCCCCACTCCAGTACCTGAGAAGCACCTCTCTCACCAATGAGAGCCAGGACAAACAAACCTAGCATACCTGTGCAGAATAGCAAGCAATGCATAGTCTGTCATTAGGAAAGAGGGAAAATCAGTTTTCTCCAGGGATGAGCTCCCTGATAGGTTATCTAATCCCAAGTGGTCAGTCCTAAACACATATATATGAGCAACACTAAATGCACACAGTATGTTGTATATGCATATACATATGAATGCATATATATGTATATATAAAACACAATAATCATTAAAGAAAAGGGGGGTCTTGAATTTGAGAAGGAGTTGAGGAGGCATGGGAGGAGATTCAGGGGGAAGATGGAGGGATAGAAATGATATAAAAACTGTATTCACGTATGACATTGTCAATAAATAAAAATATTATAAAAAAGAAAGTCTGCATTTACCAATCAAAAGATTACTGTGTGCAGACCTGCCCTTTCAGCTACATAAACAGCACCCCTAACACCCTTTTCAGGCTAACCTAGGACATCTGATCACTGCATTGTCCCTGTGTAGCAACACAGATCCTTAAAAAAAGCCTTGCTGGGTTGGTTTTATTTCCAACTGTTTTCTTTTGGTTTGGTACTGATCTTTGAAGCAGAGACTCATGTAGCTCAGGCTAGCCTGAACCTTGCTATGCAGCCAAGAATGATCCTGCCTCTACCTCCTGAGTGCTGAGATTACAGGTATATGATACTATGTCCAGTTTATACAGTGCTGGAGATCAAATCCAGAGCTTCCTGCATGCTAAGGAAGCATTCTGCCAACTGAGCTACATTTCCAGCCCCATTCATCTTTTCTATCCCAGGTAGATTGGGTTGATCTGGCAACAATACTACCAAGAGCTACAGGACCAGAGAATGCCAAGCAGCCAGAGACCTGTTGATGCACTCCAGAGAACTAGCAAAAACTGAGCTGAGGAAGCTACAGAATTGCCAAAGGTTACTAGCTCCAGTTATGGGGAGCTGCCAAGGGCTGCTGGGAACTGCTAACTCTAGCTGCTTAGTTCCTAGAAAGTCCTTCCCAGGGCAGCTGAGATGACTGTGAACACAAGCTGCCAATGGTACTCTGCTCAGAGCTATAACACTGCTTTGTCTTTTCACTATTTCAAATTCAAATTGAGTCAAAGAACTCTCAGCCCATTTGGAAGCAATTTAATAAGGCGTAAAATAAATGTGGCATTTTCATATTAAACCTATACTAGGACAGAGCCTAAAACAATTAAGATCGCCCAGTAGACATTTAATGTTTGTTGAATGCATAAATGAGTAAATAAGCAAACAATATTCTATAGTAGATAGCATCTCCATTTTACACACAAAGATTCAGAAGCTCATAAACACGACAAAATGACAGAATTGGAAACTAACTTCATGCCTAGTAACAGAATCAAATCATTAATATTTCAGCTTATATTTTTTTGCCATGTTATGTTCTAAAATGTGATAATGAAATCAGCAAAGGCCTGGACTCACCCAGACTTAAATTCCTTCAATAACAAAAATTGTCAGAAAAAGCCTCCAGACCGTCTACTAATAATTCTTACCATTTGGAACTCGCTTTTCAAGAACAGACACAAAAGAATGAAGTCAGCTTGTCTAATAAATGATATCACAGGCTCAAAATTCCCACATAACATGTAACTACTCCCCCATCAAAATGCAATCTGTGAAAAGGCACCCCACCAATCAACAAGCAACTTCTCCCTATAAATTCCTCAGATACAAATTGATTGAGGGAGCCAACTTGAGCTTATACCTCTTGGTCCCCTTGCTGGTTGGCTGTGCAAAAAAACTTTTACTTTTAACAAATACCCAAAGACATAGGATTCCCTTCTGTGCAGATCAGACAGTGAACCCTTGTTTAGTTAAAAAAAAATAAAAATAATTCAAAATGAACAAACAGCCGGGCGTGGTGGCGCATGCCTTTAATCTTAGCACTTGGGAGGCAGAGGCAGGTGGATCTCTGTGAGTTCAAGGCCAGCCTGGTCTACATAGTGAGTTCCAGGACAGCTGGGGCTACAGGGAGACCCTGTCTCAAAAAGACAAAAAGAAAAAAAAAACAATGTATCAAGATTGAGGGATATAGATAGCTAAGCAGTGGAAAATCTTGGGATGCATTCTTCTAGAAATTGGCAAACTAATCCTAGAGTTCAGATTTCAAAGAACCAGCAAGAAGCAAAACAACTTTGAAAAAAGGAAAAAAGGTAAGGCCATTTACTATGCTATAGATCAAGACTCTGTGCTATTGGGCATAAAAGTAGACCTAAAGATCAAGGAAAATAATATGGAGACCAGAAGACAGGCTTATAAATCCACAATCAACAAATTTTGGGCAAATTATTTCAAAATATAACAAACAATGATGGGACAATTGTATATACATACAAGAGAGGGATTGAAAGAAGACCTTTTAGCTTACTTCATGTCTTACACAAAACTGAGAATGAATTTTAGGTAGAAACAATGAAATTTTAGAAGAAACATTGGGGTAGGCAAGTAACTATAGATTTCACAGATATGACATGGAAAGCATAAACAACAAAATATTATAATAATAAATATAACCATCAAAATTTCCATTCTTAAAATCATATTGATTAATAAAGTTAAAAGGCAAGCCACTGTCAGAAAGAAAATATTTGGCATATGTATATGTGTGCATATATGTATGTATGTATGTATGTGTGACATATATACATATATATGGTATTAGATTTTGAACATAAATAAACATGAGATGCCTCCCAAAGGCTCCTGTGTGGAAGGCTTAGTCTCCAACAAGTGTGCTATTTGGGGAGGAAACTAAGAAGTGGAGCCTATCGTGAGGAAGGAGGTAAGTGGAGCATATCTTTAAACCATATCCTGTCACTGGCACCTTCCTGTCTCCTTTCTGCTTCTTAGCTGTCATGTGGTGAGCAGCCTCTGTTTCAGATGTCTGCCACCATGATATTCTGCCCTCTCTTGGGCCCAAATTTATACATTTTACCTATGAATGCTGACTAACTTAAGGATACCAGAGGGACTTTAATTTTCTTCATTTAATATGAAAATATTCTTATATTCTTATTGGTCAGCAAAATGAGATACTGATAAAATGTGGATTACCTAATATTGCAACAGATACAACTCTAACCATTAGGTACACTTTGGAAATTTTTTCATCTTCACTTTATAAGCACAGAGTATTTCTATGTCTGGGTGGGAATGGGGAAGAGGGAGTTGCTGTTGTTTTGTTTATGTATAAGTGTGTTTCAAGTAATGGTAAATAAATGAAATTTTTCTATATCCAGGGTTAATGCTTCTATTAAATGTAGTTATACTTCAGAGGCATGGTACTTTAGGTTTCTTTAAGTACATAATAATTACTGTCTCCAGGAGAAACCCTAACTAGGTTTTTAAAAACTTGTTCTCTACCTAAATGTGAAGTTTTCAAAGACTCCACTGGTTGACTGAAAATACCACTTGACTTTCTTTTAGTGAATGTCATTGCTTTTTGTTATGATATAAGGAATTAGACTTGCATTGAAAATGAAAAGCGATGGGTTGGGGATATATTTCTTCATTGGTATATGCCTGTGAAGCACGAACAAGACCCTAGGTTTGATCCCAACAATGCACACACCTGTAATTCAAGCACTTGGGAGGTGGAGTCAGGAGGATCAGAAGGTCATGGTCACCCTTAACTATATACTAAGTGAGAGGCCACCTTAGGATACATGAGACCCTGTCACAAAAATAAATAAAAAGGTAAAAAAAATATTTTACTACATGAAAGAACAAAAAGGTCCTACCTGTTTCAACCTCATGAAGAAAGTCTCTGTGAAAGTCTTCCTGCTGAAATACCAAAATCTCTCATTTGCAGGGTACACCCGAACTACTGTCTCCAGGAGAAAGCGGACAGGCTCTACCACCTCCGTGACTACCATATCCACTGCCACAGTCATGTATACACGTTTATCTGTAGTAGAAAGTTTCTGGGTTTTTATATCAGCTTTATTATTCCTTGAGTATGGAATAAAACAAAATCTTCTTGATTATAAAAGAATTAAGGTTCTTTACAATCATATTAGCGTCTATATATTTATTTTTTAATAATTTACTGTCACTTTAAGTAAGCAACGAAGTAGTCCAAAACTGTTTCTTAGGGACTAATTATCCTATCTTAATCAAGTGTCTAAATCTCCTGAAAGCTGTCTTTTCCCAGTCTCCAAATTAGATCCTTAATATGAAAAGTTTAAATAAGGATTGTGGAGTAGAGCTCAGTGGTAGAGAACTTGCCCAGCAGAAGAAAGGCCCTGGGTTGGATCCCCAGAACCACAGAAGATAAAAGTAAATAAAATTTTGAAGATATATTTTATTCTAAAACTATCAGGTTTCTTGAACAATATCTAGAAAATCACAGATTTATATTTTGAAACTAAAAACAGAAATAATAAAAAACTGTTGTTTCTTTAGTAACTTATAAATCAGAAGAGCTAGTTGATCTCTGTGTTAATGTTGTATGAGTTAGAATACAATTTAAAATTTTTCCATATGGTGTGAATTAAGAAAAATTTCTGGAGATTTGTCAATACTCTTCATAAAACATACTTACCTTTGGAAAAATCATTAGGTCAGGAAGATGGCTCTGTGGGTAAAGCCACTTGCTCTGCAAGCATGAGGACCTAACTTCTAATCCTCAGAATATATATAAAAAGCTAGGTATGGTTGTGAATTCCTGTTATCCCCATTACTGAGAGGGCTGAGACAGGATGATCACTGGAGGCTGCTAGCTAATAGTCTAAGTCCAGATTCAGTGAGAGACCCTGTCTCAAGTGAGTAAGGCAGTAAACTGACAGAGCAAGACACTGGAAACCCTCCTCTGGCCTCCACACTAGCACATAGGCACATGTACAAATACACACATGCACCACACACAAATAGCAAAAGAAAAATCACTAACTAAAGCTTCAAATAGTTCCATGATATATATACATATATTATATATATATATATAATCTCATATATATATAAGTGCATTCATGTATTTGTATATGTATACATACTATTTACATTTATAAAATTAAAGGCCTAAAAATGTTTTTAAAAAACAATGACATGCTATCAAGTTTTTACTTATTATTTAAAATGTACTTGGTCACAAACTTCCTTGTATTTAAATCTAGAATATTCTAGGCCAGTATCTTTTTAATTCCATTATGACAGACAGAAATATGAATTTTGTATTATTTCCTGCTTGACATTTAATGAGAGTTTAGAATCTATGGCTTGGTTATACTATACTATTGTATAATATCATTGCTTCTTAACTATTTTAATTTTTTTATTTAATAATCACATGATTAGGAGAAGCATTTCATTACAGCTTTAACATATTCAAAAACAATTTTCAGAGCAAAGATACATCTCTTTCAAAAGTGGCTGTAAATTTTTAGGTTCACAGTTGAAATAATATAGCTATACAATACTGAACTCAGTATAAACCCTGTAAGACATAAAATTAATTGAGGTTTTAGTGTGTAAAAAAGATCTCCATTTCATTTTAAAATATACTGTTTCCTACAGAAAGACTCATTTTTAATGCTACTAACACTTAGATATTGGCACATCTCTGTCCTATTGACCTATCAAATGGGGACAATGGGGTACTGAAGGCCCTACTATTAATGAGTTGGGACTAATCTGGGTCTTAAAGTCCTGTAGTACTGTTTTTATGAATTTGGTTGTACCAGAGTTTGGTGAATATATGTTCATGATTGTAATATCTTCTTGGCTTACTGTTCCTTTGATCAAAATGAAGTGACCCTTTTTATCTCTTCTGATTAGTTTTAAAGTCTAGTTTATCGGATACTAGAATTGCAACGCTTGCTTTTTTTCTTAGTACCATTCACTTGCTATATTTTTTTCCATCCTTTCATCTTATGGTAGTACCTGTCCTTGAAAGTGAGATGAGTTTCTTGCAGACAACAAAAAGATGGGTTTTGTTTCTTAATCGATTCAGTCAACCAGTTTTGTCTTTTGACTGGGGAATTCAGTCCACTGATATTTAAAGTTATTAATGAAAGATGTGTATTGAATCCTGTCATTTTTATTTCTGTTCATATTCCTGAAATAGCTGTGCATTTCCACAGTTATAACTTCACTGACTTTCTTTCCGTAACCCCTTGGGTATAGTCATTCCTTTCTTAAGCTGTTTGTATTGCTTCAATAACTCTCTGAAGGGCTGGTTCTGTGGACTAGAATTCTTTCAGTCTATTTATGTCATGGAAGATTTTTCTTTCCCCTTTGACTACAATAGACATTTTGGCTGGGTAAAGTAATCTGGATTGGCATCTGTGGTCATTTAGAACTGGGAATGCTTTGGTCCAGGCTCTTCTGCCTTTCATAGTTTCCACTGAAAAGTGAGCTGTAATTCTGCTGGGGTTTCCTTTATATGTGACTTGTTGTTTTTCTTTTGCAGTTTTCAGTATTGTCTCTTTGTTCTGTACGTTTAGTGTTTTTACTACGATGTGCTGTGGAGTTTCTTTTCTGGTCCTGTCTAATTGGTGTTCTATATGCTTCTTGTATTTGTAGGGGCATGTCTTTCTGTAATTTGGGGGAATTTTCTTTTACAATCCTGTTGAAGATTTGGTCCATGCCATTATCCTGAGATTCTTCTCCTTCCTGTATACCTATGATTCGTAGGTTTGGTCTTTTTATGGTGTCACATAATTCCTGCATATTCCATTCTTGTGTTTTCTCAAATTTTTTATAATCTTTACTTGAGTGGTCTAATTTGTCCATTTTATCTTCCAGTCTTGATACTCCGTTTTCCATTTCGTTTATCCTATTAGTGAGGCTTTCTCCTCTCATTTCTAATGGGCTTACTGAGTGTTTCACTTCCTTCTTCATTTCAGCGTATTCTTCAATATTTCTAACTCTTTTCCGAATTCATTCAGAAGTTTATCCCTATCTTCTTTCAGTTCTTTGATTTCATTGTTTGTGCGTTCTTTAAATTCACTGGATTCTTTTATCACATTTATAATTGTTCTTTTGAGCTCTGTTCGGTCTAGGGGGTTCTCACTGTACTCCTCTACAGGACTGTGGGTACTTGGTGGGGATATATTATTTTGATTTTTCATGTTATTATTTTTCCTCTGTGACTCTGACATGTGAATTTCTTTTATAGATTCTGGTTCTTGTGTGAGACTCAAGCCTTCCTTTGTTGAATTTAGGTCTGCTTCTTTTTGTAAACTTTATGTGCCTTTGTGGTTTACTTGTTGGACATGAAAAGGTGGTGGTTTAGGCTTCAGGTTCTCTCTTTTAATTTTATATTGGAGTGCCCAATTGCTTTCATCTTCAGGAGTTCCCACAGAGGCCCAAGTCAGTTGAGGATCAGATTCTCTCAGGCTTTCTCCTAAGGTCTGGATCCCTCCAGGAAAGATGGTGCCCTCAGGAATTTGGGGCCTAGGCTGGCCTGGGAGCAGGGCCCAGGAAAGATGCTGGTCTCAGGAAGCTGGTGGCTGTGCCACCCAGGGATGTAAAGGGAGATGGCGGCGGGAAGAGGACCCAAGGGCTCCTGGGGACTACCACCAGGAGGGAGGACCTGGGCTGGTTTGGATGCAAAGGATCAGGAAGCAGTGGGGATTCTGGGCCAAGAGGTCAGTCCAGGAGTCTGGGGTGCAAAGACAAGAAATGGGCCAATACCCAGGCTAGGAGGGGAGCTGGGAGGGTGAATGAGCCTGGGGGAGTCAAGGCGCAGTGGGTGCCGCTAGACTTACCCAGGAAAGGTACTAGCACCAGGACTCCGAAGGCTGTGCAGCCCAGGGAAGCAAAGGACAACTATTTTAATTTTTAAATTTCTGTTATGTGTATGGCAGCTAACAACCATCTGTAACTCCAGTTCAAGGGTAAATGGATGCCCTCTTCTGAATTCCATGGGCAACGCACAACACGGGTGCACTCACATACATGCCAAGCAATACACTCATACACATAAAAACTTTTAAAGAACTGTTTACTAGCCTATATTTCTCAATTTTTGTTTTCTTTCTCAATGACTGTAAAGAGAGAAAGTTATGTTATTTAAAAGGATATCTCCAAAAATAAACTATGCAATTTGTTGCTAAAAAAAATAAGGTTGAATTTTTTTCTTCCTGTCATGTGTTTTTGTGTGTTGTGTGTGCATGTATCTATGCATGTTCACATGTATACGGACATATGAGTATATGTAGGTACATACACATACACACACGTACATGCATGTGAAGCTCAGAGGTGAATGCTGAAATCATCCTCAATAGCTCCTCTACCTTAGCTTTTGAGCTCCAATATGGCTACTCTATCTGGCCAGCTTGCTAGAGGGACTCTCTCTTCCATCACAGGCTGGAATTATAGGAGGGCTGCCATACCCATCCAGCATTTATCTGGATAATGGAGATCTGAAATACCAACCTCTTGCTTGTTCTGCAAGTGCTTTAACTGCTGAGCTATCTCTCCAGTCAAAGCTGAATATTATATAAGTGTGTTTCTCTTGTATTTCAGTCCTTTGAGATGGCATAACATGTAATCAAATGCATGTAAATTATGGAACTAGTAAAGACTTTCTTTAAGGAACACAGAAACTAGTTATCAATTTACTGTTCTTTACTAGAATAGCTATTTGCATATTCGTAATCACTGGTGTTTCCTGTCTCTAGCCAAAAGTCATTTGAGGGCATAAACTAAATACTATAAAACTAAATGCAAAAGAAATTGATGCATTATATTCTAAATATAAATGTTTATAAATAAATAGAAATAAGCAATCCACAAATACTTGGATAAAGCACAGAGAAAAGAATTTCTGTACATTAGACATGGCAAATAAAAAGGGAAATAAACAGGGAAAAGAATGTTACAAATGAAATCTTCAATGTATACTGCAAGGATCTCAAAAATCTAAAAACTAGAATGAGTAATTAGCAAAAAATGTAAATCTATAATGCTTAAAAAATAATGATATGCAAATTTCTAAACTCTATTTGCTTTCATCTTTCATCTTCCATCGCTCTCATCCAAATAAAACAACTCTATAGTAATATACAAAACACAAACTCAAAAGCCTTCTACATAAGCAAATAAAATTAATGAATGTGGCTTTTGGAGTAATTCTTTACAAACTGGTGAAGGTTTTCCCCATAGAAACATAATATATGAAAAGGAAGTTCAGAAATATTGAACAATATAAGTAACAATATTTTCAGTTTAAATAAGCATCAGGACTTTCTAAAAACTGTAACCATAACAAAACAAGATTTCTCATAATAAAAAAATCTAAAGCAATAAGAAATCTTTTAAGAAAAGTCACCTTTTGGGGTTTCTTCATTAAGTGCCAGAAATATTGGTGCATTAGGGTTCCACATGCCAGTGATGACATAGGCTCTGCCATCATAGCTCTTTCCCATGGATTCCTGTAAGAGTTCAAACAGGAATCACTGATAACATACACAAGAAAATCTTGTTAATTTACTAAAATTTGGATTTACAAATCAAACAGGGGCTTAAATTTTACTGTAACTTTTTTCATCTACAAATGTATTTCTTTTAATATTAAAATCTCATACAGCTATCATCAAACACAGTTTCTACAAAAGACATGTACCTCTTACATGAAAAAAGGCATAACCCATTCACACTGGATCACAAAACTGTAATATTGTTCTAGTTATATTAAAATTGATCTTATGCTTGCTTTCAAAATTTCTATATATACAAGACTACAATATAAAATTACAGACAGACCAATTAATAGGTAATCATAGGAGCAAACAGTAGCAACTTTTTCTTAATGTTGTAATTTTAATATATTCTTAAAATGTTAATTTATTTTATGGCAGCAATACCTTCAAACTTAATACTTTTCTATTATCTACAGGTAAACAATAAATCACTATTAGGAGACTAATTTTGGTTCATAATCAACAAAATATTCATTCTCACTTCCTCTCCCCATCCCTCCCTTCTAGCTTACTCTTTTTCCTTTATCTCCTTCCTCCTTATCTTCATTTTAATTTTCTTACTAAGCTAGCTCTGGAATCTTACTAAAGAAGCTAGTACTTTCTACAGGGAAGTCAAGGCCACATATAGGTTGTGCACGTGTGGGGAAGAGAGGGAGATAAAATGATGTCTCATGGAAGACCACCACAAAAGTGTACAAACATGTACAAATACAAAGGAATAATATCTACAAAACTTTCAGTTTTCTGTATTTCTTCATATTATGAACAGAGTGAGAAAAGGGGCAGACCAAAACAAAGGAAAAAAGGGAAAAAATTCCCATTATTAATACCTCAGACATT